TGCGCACGGCTACGTGAACTTAATCAGATGTGCATGCCTCGCTTAAGCCGCTAGTATGCACCAATGTCCTTGTTGGTGCCGCTGACAATCCTGCTTGCCTCTTTATTCGTTGCATGGATTCCCACGATGTCCTTGCTGTTGCCACGATGTCCTGGGAGTCTTGATTTGCCACTCGCTTTCACTTTACTGTTTCACTTCCAAACTCAGATTTTTAACTCCTCTTTTCACTTTTTAACTCTCTATGACTGACCCCGTATGGAGCTGCCGTTGGCCTTTTATAGCTCAGTCACAGGCCCTGCTTCGTGTGGTAACGGGGCCTGTTCGGCTCTGGAAACGGGCCTTTCTACCGTTCGTTCCCATAAAAACTGAAAAGTGGCGTGATCTGGGTGACGCCACTTTCCTGCCAAATTGCGTGGCAACCTCCCATTGGCCGAAGTACCGTTGGTGCCCTGCGAGTGAAAGTGTCCACTACTATCACCTGGCCCGAACGGCACCTCGGCTAACGGTCCTCGATGATCGACGTGTGTGCGACGCGAGCCCATTGCTGAATCTGTAGGAGCGAAAGAGGCCGACTATAGTCGGACCTTGACCCCCATTCCAGTTGCGAGGGTCGCTCCTACAGTACTCGCGTCGCTGTGTGGAGTAACATGTATATGCACGTATATGCATATAAACGCACAGCAACTACGTACGCTCATATACATAAATACGTGCATACCAATACTGCTTCTCACTCTCCCCACTTTCTTCGGGAAAACACAAGACCATCGTGTTTGGATTTGGCGCCCGCCTCGGCCGCGCCGCTCCGTTTTGCGTCGCTCCATCCCTCGGTGCTTCATTTTGCGCTGCTCGCCGCTGTTAATGCGCTGTTAACGACGTCAGCTGCCCTTTTACTTACCGCTGGCAATGCTGTATTCTGCCGGTAAGTCATTGGAGTTGTACTTTTTTTTAAATTTCACAAATTTTAAAAAAATCTTTTGATTTTCAGGCTGGGCACCTTCTTCTTAATGCCCCTCGACCTGATGGCCTGCCGCTGCCAATGCCCACGCCGGGCGCTGCTGCAAAACTCGCCTCTCGGTTTTGCAGTCCCCGGTGGCATTGGCGCACGCGCGTACGGCAATGGCCATTTCATGCATTTGGC